GCAGTGGCTATGGAGTGCTTCATAGTGCTGTGCTTTAACCCATCACACCACCAGGGAGGGTTCTGTTCATTAATTTTTAAATAAGTCATTTAAACTCAAATCTTAAATGCCATCACAGCTCAAAATGTAAAACCACTGGGCCCCCAAATTCTTTGAGCAGTAAATGAGATAAAGACCTGCAACTTTCAAAGGAGAATTCTACTGAAGTTCATACTTCACATGTAGCCAAGGACGATAATGGAGAAAGAACTCCCCAGAAGTTCTTGGAATATAATGAGTGGCCAAAGGTCACAGAGAACAATAGATAAGGGAGTTCCCCCATAACTGAATCAAGGTTCAGTTATTAAATATCTTCAACCTCCAAGGCTGCTCAACAGCTAAGATCTGCCTAGGGAGATTTCAAAACAATTCTCATCAGCAACAATTGGCTGCTACCTACCATTCCTCTCCTCTTATTTGTAGTGCTTATTAAGACACCCCCAGCCCCATCCTCTACCCCACCTTGCTCTACTGTTGTATGCAGTAGTGAGAGGGGAAGTGTGAGAGAAAAGAATGGAGGAAGCACTTACAGACAACCTCACAAGTCTCTGGATGAAGCCATATCTGAACCAGATGGAAACAGAACCACAAGACATATGGCCCACAAGAACTGAGAGTATAGCTACTGCTACTTATGGTCCAATATGATAGCAAAAGAATGACATGATCTATTACCAGCCTCCTAAGATAATCAGTATAATGTTTTCTCAACTGAGATGCATGCTTTTCTGCATTCTAATATTTCTGAAATGGATTATAACTTAAAATCATTATTAAACAAATTTTGCCAGCTCCGAAGCAGAGTTGTGAAATGGAAGACAATGCACACTGCATTGTCCGTAAATAAAAAGGGATTTCTCTTATCACTTCAGTTGTGCTATTTTCATTGGCAACCCCACATATGGTTAAATTTAAGCCCTTGATCAGTGCTCACAAAGTCTTTAAAAATACTCCACTATGGAATGGGGAATGGGATCAAAAACAGGGGGGTGGGGAGGGAAGTGCATGGGATTACGGTGATGGCACACGGGTGACTTGGTGATGGGAAACCCGCAGGGATTACAATTGAGATGGAAAAAAAAATGTACAAAATGATGTAAAACTGCTATAAAATAAAAAAAATAAAATAAATAAATTAATAAAAAAAAAAGACTCCACTATGATGTGGCATTATATACTCAGCAACTGTCAAAAACAGGCAATACAATTAAAGCATAAACAATTGCCAAATTTAGGCAAGATCACAAAAGCTTCAAAGGTAAGAGACTTTTGTCAAGTGCAAGCAGTACATGAAATATCTGTCAAAACCTTCTGAGTTATCTTCAGAAGAAACTGTTTAATTTCCAGCAGTAGCTCATACAATTAAGGAAAAAACAAAACTAAAAGACAAAATTGCCTTTTCAATATGCCTTATAATTATATGCTCAATTAAGACCAGAAAGAGGTTCAAGCTAATTAGTAAAGGTACTGAAAAGCAGCAAAGTCATCATGGTGTTAGGTGTTAGACTCTCCAAAGCCCAAAGTAATTAAAAGAACCCTATTTTCTGAATGTGAATAAGGCTGAGATTCAAACTTACCATGACTGAAAAAATAAGTAAAAAAAAACAAATAGATAATTTATGCTATTGAAAGTTAGTAAAAAATTGTATTTTCTCCCCTCCCTCCGGAAAACTTGTTAATAAATGACTTGCTTTAAACATAAAGGACTAAGAAGCTATGACAATTTAACTTCATCATTTTCAAAAAAGATTCATTTATGTATTTATTCTTACAGAACTGGGATGCAGGCCCTAAGTGTGGTGGGTGAGAGGAGTTACCAAAGACAGAGTGAGGAACAGAACAGGCAGATATACTGAAACATACCGCTGAGGGGAACAGCCGGAGAGTCAGGAGAGGTCTGCCATGCCACGTGGGTCACCTCCCTGTGGGGATCGAACTCGAGCTGCAGTGGCTTCAGAGAGCTTCATAGTGCGGAGCTTTAACCCGCTGTGCCACCAGGGAGAGCCCTAACCTCATCATTTTTAATACCTATATATTTAATTACACCAGGTAGACATACCCTAATCTACTTATCCCCTACTGATGGGCATTTAGGTTGTTACCATCTTTTTCTATTACACATAATGTTTTGAACACTAATAACTTCAATATATTGGTAATAGTCCAGTTCTGAGGATGGATGGTAAGTTATTATTCATTTTAGTATGTTTCACAGCTTGTAAAAAACATTCCTAGTACATAGAAAAATGAGTTAATAAAAAATGCAATAAAAATTCTTACACACATATTATTGAGCATTTTCCTTAAGATAAATTTCCAAATTTGCTGGGTCAAACAGAATGAAATTCTGCCACTTAATGTCAGAAGGTCTTCTAGAAAGGTATACTGATTTATAATCTCTCCAACAAGGTATGATCAACATTGAAATGATCAAATCTTAACAATCTTTGCAACACAATGCATGAAAATTCAAAGTAATAATAGGTAACAAGAATTGTTAAAGGAACTCTTCAAAGCAAAACCGTATTACCTCTTTAATCCATGTTGTACTGCTAGATTAATCTTCCTATTACAGCAGCTCTGATCATGTCACTTCCTACTCTAGACCCTTCAACAATTTCTTTAAGTTAGTGATTAAAAGTCAGAGCTCAGGAATCAAACTACCAAATCCCAGTTCTATAGCTATCTATTTGTGTGATTTCAGCAAGCTATTGTCTGCCTCAGTTTCCTGATTTCAAATGTAGGTAATTATTTAAAATGGTTATTTTAAGCATCAAAAAGTTTAATACATGCCAAATGTTTAGAGTAAGTGTCCAACTCAGTAAATATTGTGGCATGCTCTTTTCTGTCTCTTTCCCCATGTACCTTATCTTCTAACCAAGCCAAATTACTTGTTCTCAGTTAAAATACCTGGTGCTTGTCTACTTTCATGTCCTTAGTTATCTTGTTTATTTTTATTGGGAGAGCTACTGCCGTGGACCGTGTAGAAATTATAGCCTGCTTTTAAGGTGAAATTCAAGTGCTTCCTTTATGAAGATTTCACTGGGCTGTTAGCTGTTACCCTTTCCCTCTGAATGCCAAATGGACTTTGCATGGTTCAAATAAAACGTTTTTGCCCTATTGTTAAATTTGTCTTATTTTTCCACTAGGTCAGATTTACAGAGTATAAGTTGTCTTGGAGAGATCTACATACATCCTAACACATAAGGCACAATAAACATAAATATATACATTATATCTGTGTGTGTGTAAATTTTCCTGCCACAGGGACAAATGTATCTAGAAAGGGAAAGTGGTCCAAGGTCATGTTAGGATTGGACCATAACCAGCCCAGGGTCTTCTCTTCATACCTGATTTTGAAGTTTCTAAGGGCAGAGATCATAACTCATTTATTCCTTGAATGGACATATAAATCATCAGACTGAACAGACAAACATCCATTTTCTTTAAAAGTTCAGACTTTTATCAAATAGGAAAATGTCAGTAAGCAGAACAAATACTGTTGATACCTTGTCCAATCTTGGGGGAGGGGGGGGCAGGTGGCATTGCATAATAAAATTTCAGTCTTAAAAAGATGGCTTGCCTCCCAGAAAGAAAAGGAAAAATACCAGACTGTTTTCTCTCACAGCAGGAATATAACGGAATAGGCGAGAAAATAATAATAATGATGAACAGCTATATACCAGAGACATTTTGTGGGGGTGGAGCAGGGAATGGGATCAAAAACAATGGGGGGAGGGAAATGCACTGGACTATAGTGAGGGCACATGGGTGATTGGGTGATTGGAAACCCAAGGGGATTGCAACTGAGATGGAAAAATGCACAAAAATATATAAAAATAAATTATTATATAGATTAAAAAAAAAAAAAGATGGCTTATCTCAATGTTTTGGCAGCTATGAGAAACGGCAGCAGTAATATATACTGTTTCTTTCCTAGTAGCACAGTCTTAGTTGTTTAGGCAGCATGAAAAAAATCTCTGCTAGGGTCCTCTCTGGTGGCGCAAGGGTTAAAGCACAGCACAATGAAGCTAGTCTCAGCCCCTTCAGCAGAGGGGGCAGACCCACATGGTACAGCAGACCTCTCCTATCTTGCTGACCCACAAGGTGCAGCAGACCTCTCCAGTCTCACCAACTGCTCAGCAGTGTACTCTATCAATCTGTTATCCTTCCCCTCTGCTCCCAACTCTGTCTCTGGTGAATCCTCTCACCACCCTTGCACTTCTGGCCTGCACCCAGTTCTGTATGCATGCATAAATAATTTTTTTTTAAATCTCTGCTAATCTCTACTAACGGGCTATTTCCAATTCACTGTCTAAGAATTAGTATCAAAAGTGAAAATGACTGCCATGTCTACCTGGTAAAAATATTGTTCACTAACTAGCAAGTAATTTTTGTGGTCTACAGAATTTCCCCACTAACATAACACCTATAATGAAAACAAAATAATCAGAGTTGAAAATGTTCCATGGCTCTATTTATATAGAATAACAAGAACTAGCATCAAAAATAAGAGCAGAAATTAACAACTCAACCTTGTAGAATGAGATCCACATATTATGAAAAAAAAAAAGAGTAGCAGCTGGCCCTTCCTGATGGCAGAAGGAGTTAAAGTGCAGCACCAGGAAGCTGGCGGCAGCCACTGCAGCACAAGTTCCATTTCTGGCCAGAGAGGTGACCTATATGGTGTGGCAGATCAATCCTGATGTGAGAGCTGCTCCCCTCAGCAGTGTAACTCAGTATATCCGCCTGTTCTGCTCCCCACTCTGTCTCTGGTGAATCCTCTCACTCCCCCACACCCGTGTCCTGTACCCCAGTTCTTGTATGCATAAATAAGTAAACCTTTTTTAAAAGGTTTTTTTAAAGGTAGCAAAAATCTTTACTTATTGGCAAGGAGTGCCAAAGCATTTTCAGTCAATATTCAGCCACAGAAAGAACCTCCCTCCACAGTGAGTACCATAATGCAGTTTCCTGGAGTAGCAACCATTCAGAAGAAGACAATGCTACTTCTTTTACAGTTAAATCAAATTCCTGCACGGCCCAGGGAATCAACTGAAGAAATCACCTTCCTTAAAACAATCACACAGGTGCAGGTCAATATGTTAGTAAAGAACAATTCATTCCAGCAACACCGTCCCACCTTTTTTGACTGTTAAAGGAAATTTGATTAAAAAAAAAAAAACTTTAAACTTTGTAATAAATAATCCATAAAGGCCTGACAAGCTTCCTGATCCCAGATATTCAAATCTATTTCCCAAACTAGAGTCATTTAGTCTATTTGTGTTTGCGATTCATTCTGAGACTAGATTTATGAGTAACTTCTACCCGAAGGTGGCTATTTTAAACGGGATATTAACATATGGGTCGACAAACATTAAACTTTTGTTTCCTTATAAAATAACTTGGCAAGTGGAGAAGTCACAGACTGGGGTTAAAATCAAGTCACCGGAGTCTTTCTTTGATCTTGACGTCCTTTTCCAGCTTACAGTAAACAATGTCCCCTTAATTTTCTTTCCTTTATTTTGGTTTTACAGACACACTCCCACTCCATATCGATCCCTCCACGTCTCCCACCTCTTCCAACCGAACGGTCACCTCACACTGTTCCAGTGGGCTGGAAACAGACATGCCCAGGGTTTCTCCAAGGCCACGTCCACGACCGGGTCCTCCGGGGAAGCACAGACCCGCAGCCCTCTTCCTGTAATTTTCCTCGGAACCACCTTTCGCTGTTCTCCCCTGCCGAACACCGCTGACCCAGGCGCGCTGGGGCGAGGGGTGGGGCGGGGAGGGAACAGTCCACGCCAGGCCTCCCACGCGGCCCGAGCTGCACCTCCAAGGCCGCAGAGCCGGCGGCTCACACTCCAGCCCCAGGCGCGGCCAACCCGCGCTTCCCCAGGGCAGGGCTCCGCTCCGGTCCGAGCCACCGGCCAAGTCAGGCCCGCACGGCGTCGGCTCGGGCCCGCGTCCGCCGCAGCCCCTGGACCCCCGCCAGCGGGGATGGGCGTGGGCCCCGGCGGCCACCGCCCCGCCAACTCGGGCTCAGGCGGAGAAAGTGCGCCCCACCCGCTACGCCGGCCCCAGACCTACCTGTAGGGGAGAGCGGAGCTCCTGGACAGCGGCCACGGGCCAAAGGCGCGCGCTGAGGCGGCCGGACCCCGGCCCGGGGACCCCAAGTCTCCCGCGGAGAGCAGGGCGGGGAGAGATGCCGGGGCGCTGCCGCGGGCCAGCGCGGCCCGTCGCGGGGGGTCGCGGGGACCAGGATCTCCCCTCAGCACCCGGCCCCTGCCGCCGCCGCCATTTTGCCTTCCACTCGGTGTCGCCGCCGCCGCACTCCGCCGTAGGTTTCCCGGATGTGGGCATTTCCCGGCGTCGCTTGCGCGGGGGCCGAGGACTGGGGGCTTCTGGCCGCCCGGCCCGGGGAGCGAGCGCGCCTCCTGTGGCCTCCCGCCCTCCCGCCGTCGCCC